GGTGGTTTTTAGTCAGTAAGAGTCTGACACTCCCTCCCGCCTCACCCAGGCGGGAGCAGTCATTCGATGATTTTCCCCCCTTAAAAAAAAGCTCTTTAGGACATCATTGTTCACGTTTACACACATAACTTACTTTCAAACAAGTTATCTTCATTTATTCGCGCTGTTGTTAGTGCGCGTGTGGTTGTGTCGTGTAGTAGAGAAATAGGTATGCGGGACTTGCGGGACGCATCGAACGTCTTACGGGACTATTTTATTAATTATTTCAAAGCGGGATTACATCTAGCATTACGGGACGGTCCCGCAGAATACGGGACGGTTGGCCGCCTTAACCATGTAGCTATGATAAATAAAAATATTATGTCCATCGGCATTCTGAAATGATCATGATAATTATGATGAATAACCGCTGGAGACCGAGATATTAGACCATATTTTTAATCTGTGTAAGTAATATCATAACTCTAGCTCCCTGTTTACTTCATGGTAAAAAAATGTCAAGTGCTTGTCAACGTCAAATAATTCCAAAATGACAAATGTCAAACAAAAACATTGGATGGAATGGAACGTATTTAAACATAACCTATTTATCGAATATAGTTGATTACTGAATAATTTGGTTTAAAGAGTGTTGCGAATAATTAAATAATAGAAGAAATATAATAACAATACTATAAATAAATAGTGGCGAATACTTGAAACGCAGAAAATGAGCACCTCTAAGGGTAGTAACGTAAGGAGACGGCCACAGAAACACCAAAATAAAACTGCGTTCAAGAATGATTTACACGATACGAGTCGTAAAACAAAATTTTTAAACTCACTTGAGATAACTGGTGTCTGCAAACGTTGCAAGGATATACTCGAATGGAAGATAAAATATAAAAAGTATAAACCATTAACAGCACCGAGAAAATGTGTGGGCTGTGAGCAGAAAACAATAAAACATGCTTACCACATGTTGTGCAACAAGTGCGCTTTAGAGAAAACATTGTGTGCGAAATGCTGCAAACCAGTTGAGGTAAACTATCCCTTTATATTAATTGATTCGATTAAATTCTTAAAGTATTATCTTACTGAGCTACAATTTTTTGTACCAATTTTCAGGATCAGGATTCATCAGTTATTGAAGAGACCCAGAATGTTGATTTAAAAGCTATGTTAAAAGATCTACCAGAAAGGAAACGGCGGACAATTATGAGGTAGTTCAATTTGATTGTGAGTCAACATAAAACCATTACATAGTGAAGTCAGTGATGATAATAATTACTATTTACTGACAATCTCTTAACCTGGCCCCTTGGGGATAAATGGGTTAATAAGTTTGGCTGACTGCAGACATGCAGGAGCAGCATTTCTTTTCACTTACTTTGATATCATGACCTTATGTTGACAATATTCTGTAACCTTAAAACCTTAAAAAATATTTTTTTCTAACATGCAGGTTTTTTTATGAAACTTCTTGTAGATACAGATGAAACTATTTTTGGATTTAATTTATGATTGTAAATAAAATAATTGTTTCCAGGTTAATTAAGAAACAAGATGAAGGTCAGCAATTGACTCCGGAAATAAAGGCACAGATAGATGATATGCTTTTGAAGATGGACAGCATTGCCTTAGATGATGATGATTTCAATTTTAGTGATGGTGATGATGATGAATATAACTCAGATAGTGAACCAGAAACTAAATAAGTAATAACAAACATCATCTATGTACATAGAATATGCTTTTGAAATATTAGCAATTAATAAAATTATTTATACAATTCTAGGTGATTCTTTTTTCATATAACAGTGTACAATAAAAAAAAATGCTTGAGTTAAAATATGTTTAATTCATTATACATAATTATTATAATGTTTTAAAAATAACAATAATTTACAAACAACAAAACTATGGATAACCATAAAATTTACATTTGATTTCTTTTCTATTTATTTATAAACCTTAAGAAATTGTTATAAAGATAATAAAGCATCTTCAGGTGACATTTCATATCATATAATGCCAAGTTGTCGCAACTGAAACAAAATATAAAACAACTTTAGATACCAAGCAAATAAAAAGTTATTAGGTATTTCAAGCAAACCTGTAATTAAATTGGCAGGCTTTTTAAGAGATTAAATTAAATCTAAATACTTACGAATCCTTGTCGTTCTTTTTCTTTTTGCAAAACTTGTTTGGTTTGCATGTCGTCAAACTTGACTATGGCCGCTAACACTTTAGCTAAAGTAACGGAATGTGTTCCAGAACCAGTAAGGTACTCATAAAGTATATTGCGCAAATATTCTAGCTCTGTATTTTCTTGTAACGAATGTAAATGTCTTAGACTAACGAGAGCCTCATCAAGACGCCTCTCAAGTTTTTCATTAGACAATCTTAACTTCTCATTCTTTTCCTGAATTTGTGACATGTTACCATTCACAGATTTGTTCATTTGCTCTAAATCGTTAAGTCGTTTTTCTAATGTGCTGTTTACTTGCAATAAATTATTGTACTTTTCTCTTAATGAATTATCATTTTCTTGCGAGTTTATTTCTGGCTTGGGATAATTTTGGGACTGCAGTTGATCCTTGAGTTCCAAATTTTCTTCGACCAGTAACATATTTTCTCGTAACAGATCATCAATTTTCTCTTTCCTGAACTGAGCCTCTTTTTTCAGTTCTGTCAAATCATTTGAAATATCAGTGTTATCAGTGGAATGTTCACTTGTGGCTATAAGCTCCCGGAGTTTATCATTCAAAACACTGTTTTCCTTTGATATTTTAGTTAAATATGTTTGTAAGCCTTCAATGTCAGATTTAAAACGTCTATTTTCTTCTTTTATTGCATCATAATCAGTTTTTAATGATTTGTACTGATCATCTGAAGGGATGCCTCTTTCTAGATTGGTATCTTCTCTGCTAGTTGAGTACACTTGGCCAAGGTCACTTGCTTGGACACTTTCTATTTCCTGTTCGGATACTGTTTGTGCTAATATATCATCTGTTTGACATTCATTGTTTTGTGTGTTTTTACATGAACTACTTTCCAATTTTCCTATGATTTCGTTCAAATGATCTTTTTCGACTTCCATATCAGCATGTGACTTTCGTACATCATTGATTTCTATTTCCAGTTTTTTATAACTGTCAGCAATACTCTCTACTTGAGTTTTCAGAGATATATTTTCTAGTGTTAAAGTTTTGTTATCTTCTTGTAACTTATTAATGGTAGCAATCTGTTTCTTGAGTTCTTCTGTTTGAACAGTCAATGTATTATTGATTTCATTTAAATTATCTTTTTCCATTTCCATATCAGCATGTGATTTCCGTACAACATTGATTTCAGTTTCCAGTTTTTTATGATTTTCAGCAATGTCTTCTAAATTTGTCTTCAAAGATGTATTTTCTAATGTTAAATTTTTGTTATCTTCTTGTAACTTATTTATGCTGGCAATTTCTTTGTTGAGTTCCTCTGTTTGAACAATCAACTTTTTATTCTCATTCTTTATAGCATCAAGTTCGCTCAAAGTATTGTTGTGCAAATCTTTGAGGGCAACTAATTCTTTTGTCGACACATTACTATCATTCATCAAGGAATCCAGTTTCTCCACCAATGTCTGTTTCTCATTTTCCAACAGCTTCAGTTGTTCATTAGATTCGAGGTACTGTGTTTTTTCAAACTCCATGGCTATTTGTAGATTTTGGAAGTTGTTTTCATATTCTTTGATCTTGTACAGTAAGTTTTCTTTTTCCTCTTTAATGAAATTTAGCTCATTTTTGGCTACTTCATAACGTTCTGTGATATTTTTTACTTCTTCATCTATGAGGTTCTTTTGTAACTCAAACTCAGTAATAGTTGACTTCAAATTATTATTTTCATCACGAAGAGCATTTAATTCTGAATTCAGTGTGTCATATTTTTCTACGCCTACTTTCAGTTCTTTCTGCAACTTGTTATTTTCTTGTCTTAACTCATTCAGTTTGTTATTATTGGAATTAGTTTCGCAATGTGAAATGTTGTTGAAAGCATAATTTATTTCTTTAGTTAAGGATATAAATGCTTCATTATTGATGGCTTGCAAGGATTTGGCCTCACTCGAAATTAAAAAGATAAGTTTTCTCAAATCCAGAATTTCATTTGCAAGTTTCACAATACCTGCTTTCATTTTAGTATTCTTAACAACTTTTTCGTGCATGATTGCATTCTCAGATTTTAATTCAGTAACAACCTTACGGAACTCGATATTTTGGGTTTGTAATAACTCATGATTTGCTAACAATTTTTCAATTTCAGATTGTAATTTGATCAACTCATCTCTTTCTTCTTGTATTTCGGATTCTAATTTTGCATATTTGTCTTTCCATATACTCAATTCTTCAAGAACTTCATCTTTCTTAGAGTCTTCCAAGGCTTGATCCTTTAAGATCTTTTCTCTCTTTTGCAATTCTGTTTCTAATTGTCCTATCTGAGTGCTTTTCTTTGAATTTTCTTCACTTAGCTGTGTGTTCCTGTTTTCTAAATATGTGTTCCTGTCAATCATGGCTAATTTCTCTGCAGTTTCTTGTTTCATTTGTAACTGAAGACATTTGTACCCTTCATCGGCTTTTGTTTTCGTTTGTTCTAAATTATGACATTTTTTCGTCAGATCTTCTATTTGGGCCTCCAACTCAGAAATCTTAGTTTTGAATGAATTCAGTTCAGAGTTATCTTGAATAAGTTTTAATTTCTCCGCTTCTAATGCCGTTACATTGTTTTTATAGTCATTTATGACTATATTCAATGATTGTATTTCTTTTTTGCTTGCCTCCAAGTAATCTTTTAGAGATTTAATTTCTGATTCTTTGCTTTCCAACTCTTTGTGTATACTCAATTTATTTTCTGCTAAAGAAATAGCATACTCCTCTTCTCGCTTGCTAAATACTTCAATTTTACCGCGTAGTTCAGATATTTCTTCTTGGGCTTTTTGGAAGTCGAGTTCTAATGTCGATACCTCTCTTGTTTTATTAAATTCATACACATTAATTTTGTTCTGTAATTCTTCGTTTATGTTATTTAATTCCTGGATTTTTTGTTTGGATTCTAACAGTTGATCAGAACTGACTTTAAGTTGTTCAATTTCTTTATTTTTGTTTTCAAGTTCATTTGAGAGAATTTGTATCTCTGTAGTGATTTGGGAGTTTTTCTCTTTACTCGATTTTAAAGATTCTTTGTACTTGTTCAGAAGCTGTTCCATTTTTTCAATTTTATTATTCAGTGCAATTATTTCTGCTGCTGAAGATTCTTCACTGATTTGATTTCCCTCATTATCATTAGATAGATTTATTAGTTGTACATCTCCATCTCCTTCAGTCGATTTAGTTTTGTTCTCATTTTTATCACTACTAGAAATATTTGAATTACTTTGTAGTAACTGGACTTTAGTATTAAGAGTCTCAATTTTCATGCACTTTTCTTCAATCTCAACACGAAGAGCTTTTTCTAGGTGGGCCTAAAAAGAAAAAAGAAACAATACATTAAGCATTTGTCAACTTTACAAATATAAAAGGAAATGTTATTTCATATGTATAAAACTTACTTTTGCACTTTGTTCCAACGCACATTGCTCTCTAAGTTCTGATATTCTTCTTAGGGCCTTATCTTGAGTTTCGACCAATACACTCTAAAAATAAAATAGAATCTTGATAATAATTATGTTAATATGAAAAAAGGTATAATAGAAAGTTATTAATAACGCGACATTTACCCTTGCTTTAGCATTTTCTCTCTCCAATAATTTGTAGTGACGAGCTAGGTCACCATATTGGGTTCTGTACTTTGTGTATCTTTCTTGTGTGCGTCGGTATGCAGCATACAGTTGTTCTTTTGTGACCCGATCAAGACTGACATTTCCACTAGAGAAACCTCGCTCTTCAGCTTCACTAGCAGATACCTCCATATCAGACTAAAACAACACCATTTATATAAAAATACAAATTATATGCGATGATTTCCAACAACTTTAAATTTAATATCTATGTAACAAGTTGCATAATATTTGTTTGAAGTTCTTAGAATATCGCAGTTTTGTAGGGGTGAAATTCGCAACAAAAGTCATTAGCAGCAGTGTTTCATAGTTAATTATATAACATGAGAGGATGTGAGGATGATTATAAAAATCCTGTATTTGGCAACTTATAACTTACCTGTAAATGGTACATAGAAGGAGTTTCATAACTTGGCAGTCTGAAGGATACATCACTTGCAAATGAGCTGTTTGATAGTCGCCTCTGTCTCTGTTGGTCCTGAAACGAAACAATAATATCATTATTTAAAGTAGTTCATTCACTGTTCTCTAGCAAAATCAAACCAATATTAACTTAAAACTTGAAAATATTATCTGTTAGTGTTGGACAAGCTGTATCAATAAACTGTTTAAATATTAAATTTATAAATTAAATATTTAATGCAATATTGGAATTGGTCAATGCTATAGGATTGGTACTAAAACCATGGAATAATATGACAGTAAGGAAAAATATTAAGGCTAAATAGTGGAGTTTCTGACATACAACTGATTTGAAATGATCACTGAGCATCGAGCTTCACATACAAACATGCAAACTGACCGAAATAAATACTTTCACTGTGTCTTACAAGGATATCGTGTGAAGACATGTAGTCCACTGGTTCAGTAGGCTGTAAGGGCTCCAGAAGAGCCACATCTTGGAATGTATTCTGCTGACCATTTGGTGATGATGATTGTGGTTTTGCTGGACGAGGTTGCTGGCCATCTACAAAAATAACAC